GGACTCGAGCGTGAGCGGTGCAGCAGACATCGTCGAGCCTTCTGAGACCTCGGAGGCCGCGGATTGGAGCGGCGCGGTGGAGGTAGATGGTGGTGGTGGGAAGGACACGGCGGCGTAGGATCCAGCCATGGTCTCTGATACCAGATGTTATGTGGCCAGTTGGGATGGAGATGAGAGGGCGTGCTATAGTACCGTGGAGCTACAGTGTCCGCGGGGCTTCGCCCACGGCCAGCAAGAGAGAAGGGATTTCCTTCTAATCTCTTGCTTGATTAGATTGATACATCTCCTCTCATTATATAGAGAGGTCTGACTTGGCCCCTAAGCAAGCGATTAATTAACTCTAATGGGCTAAGGCCCAATAGGCCCTTGACTCCTCTAGCACTACACCCCACCTGGACATGCAGCTCGTCCTCGAGCTACGACCTAACAATGATGCTAACTATGGCTTCACTAGACACAAACTGAACACCTAAGAACAAGCCTTTTACATCTCGGCTTATTTCAAATAAACTCGACTCTTTATTCTTGACTCCACAAGATGCGCGGACACCCTCCAGCGTCTTTGGATGAGCTCATGTAGCCGACTGGATCCCATGGAGACCATCGAAACGAGAGGGTTGCACGGGTACGGCTGTCTGGAATCAATCGCAACAGCGACCAGCGGAGACAACCTCGTGGCGGCCCACAGCGAAATGCGACAGCGCTAGGCAGTCCATCTCCGTCGGTGACAAAGAGGAGTGCGCTTCTTCTATCATCACTCCCATAGAACTGGAGTGCGCCGCCTATGGGAATAGCACCATGCTCGCGCCTGGAGACAGCAACGGGTCGGCGCGGTTGTTGTTGGCCGTTCGACGGGGCGAGGTCGTGCCCCCCTTGCCGAGGTCCATCGCCGTCAAGGCCGCCTCATGCATCTGTTGGCTTATCTCCTGCAGTCGGCGCCCCGCTAGGAGGCCGCGTGCTATAGCCTGTAATCGCACCATCGCTGCATCGACAATCACTCTCGCGCGCAAGCGCCACTTGCCACGGTTGCCGCCGTGAGTGGCGATCGATCGCTCGGTGTGCACTGTGAATGGAGGCACGCAAGACGCCGAGGACGAGGCCCGCCATCGCGCGCCGCATGATGAGGGCACCGGCGTTGGTCGTGGCGCCAATGTTATGGACGAGGGTCGCCATCCACTCATCGAAGGCGCTGTGGAAGGTGGAAGGCTGCTGCGTTGAGCAAGGGCGCCACATGATGGTCGTGGCGGTGGTGAACACTGGCGAGCTGCTGGAGGATGGAGGGCGGCGTAGCCCAAGGGTGTGTCTTTGGCGGTGTGGAGATGGGCACGGCGGCGTAGGATCCGGCCGGCCCTGTGGACAGCGGCGACGTCGAGAACGGCGGGGGGAGGGCTGCTGGACGAGTCCCGCCCAAGCCGCCTACATGGACGCGATGTTGCGGTTGATGTCGATGATCGCAGCCGCCAAGGACTCGAGCGTGAGCGGTGCAGCAGACATCGTCGAGCCTTCCGAGACCTCAGAGGCCGCAGATTGGAGCGGCGCGGTGGAGGTAGATGGTGGTGGTGGGAAGGACACGGCGGCGTAGGATCCAGCCATGGTCTCTGATACCAGATGTTATGTGGCCAGTTGGGATGGAGATGAGAGGGCGTGCTACAGTACCGTGGAGCTACAGTGTCCGTGGGTACTGGTCACGGCGGTGGCGGCTAGGGCTGCAAGGGCGCTGGGGGAGGCCGGCCGTGGGGCTTGGCCCACGACCGGCAAGAGAGAAGGGATTTCCTTCTAATCTCTTGCTTGATTAGATTGATACATCTCCTCTCATTATATAGAGAGGTCTGACTTGGCCCCTAAGCAAGCGACTAATTAACTCTAATGAGCTAAGACCCAATAGGCCCTTGACTCCTCTAACACTACACCCCACCTGGACATGCAGCTCATCCTCGAGCTGCGACCTAACAATGATACTAACTATGGCTTCACTAGACACAAACTGAACACCTAAGAACAAGCCTTTTACATCTCGGCTTATTTCAAATAAACTCGACTCTTTATTCTTGACTCTTGAAGATGCGGCGGACACCCTCCGCGTGCTGGACAGGCTCGTGTAGCCGCCTGGATCCCATGGAGACCATCAAAATGAGAGGGTTGCACGGGTACGGCTGTCTGGAATCAATCGCAACAACGACCAGCGGAGACGACCTCGTGGCGGCCGACAATAAACGCGGCGGCGGCTTAGGCAAAGGCGCGTCTCCGCCGGTGACAAAGAGAGAGGCGCTTCTTCTATCATCACTCCCATAGAATCGGAGGCGCGCTGCTGGGAAACAGCACCATGCTCGCTCGCTACCGGAGACAAAGAACGGGTCGGCGTGGTTGTTGTTGGCCGTTCGATGGGGCGAGGTCGTGCCCCCCCTTGCCGAGGTCCATCGCCGTCAAGGCCGCCTCATGCATCTGCCGACGCATCTCCTGCAGTCAACGCCGCGCTAGGAGGCCGTGTGCTGTAGCCTGTAATCGCACCATCGCAGACTGACAATCACTCTTCTGCGCAAGCGCCACTTGCACGGTTGCCGCCCGCGATGGCGTCGATCGCCTTGCAGGCACCGTGAATGGAGGCACCGCACGCCGAGGACGAGGCCCGCCGATTGCGTGCTTTCGCGGATGAGGGCACCGACGCCGGCAGGCGCCAATGTTATGGACGAGGGTCGCCATCCACTCATCAAGGCGCTGTGGAAGGTGTGAAGGTTGCTGCTGCGAGCAAGGGCGCCCTGATGGCTATGGCGGTGGTGAACACGGGCGAGCTGCGGAGGACAGGAGGCAGCGTAGCCCAGGTGTGTGCTTTGGCGGCGTGGAGATGGGCACGGCGGTGTAGGATCCGGCCGCCCCTGTGGGACATGGTGGCGGCGTCGAGAACGGCGGGGGAGGCTCTTTGGACGAGTCCCGCCTTAAGCCGCCGCATGGGCGCTGCGATGTTGCGGTTGATGTCGATGATCGCGACCGCCAAGGACTCGAGCGTGAGCGGTGCAAGCAGACATCGTCGAGCCTTCCGAGACCTCGAGGCCGTGAGATTGGAGCGGCGCGGTGGAGGTAGATGGTGGTGGTGGGAAGGACACGCGGCGGCGAGGATCCATGCCATGGTCTCGATACCGAGATGTTATGTGGCGATTGGGATGGAGATGAGAGGCGTGCTACAAGACTGGTGGAGCTCTAAAGTGTCCGTGGGTACCTGGTCACGACGGTGGCGGCTAGGGCTGCAAGAAGGGCTGGGGAGGCCGGCCATGGGAAGCGCCACGGCCGGCAAGAGAGAAAGGATTTCCTTCTAATCTCTTGCTTGATTAGATTGATACATCTCCTCTCATTATATAGAGAGGTCTGACTTAGCCCCTAAGCAAGCGACTAATTAACTCTAATGAGCTAAGGCCCAATAGGCCCTTGACTCCTCTAACACTACACCCTACCTGGGCATGCAGCTCGTCCTCGAGCTGCGACCTAACAATAATGCTAACTATGGCTTCACTAGACACAAACTGAACACCTAAGAACAAGCCTTTTACATCTCGGCTTATTTCAAATAAACTCGACTCTTTATTCTCGACTCCTAAAGATGCGGCGGACACCCTCCGCGTGCTGGACAGGCTCGTGTAGCCGCCTGGATCCCATGGAGACCATCAAAACGAGAGGGTTGCACGGGTACGGCTGTCTAGAATCAATCGCAACAGCAACCAGCGGAGACGACCTCGTGGCGGCCGACAAATAAACGCTGGCAGCAGCTTAGGGCTAAGCGTCGCGTCTCCGCCGGTGACAAAGAGGAGTGCGCTTCTTCTATCATCACTCCCATAGAACTGGAGTGCGCCGCCTGCGGGAACAGCACCATGCTCGCGCTTGGAGACAGCAACGGGTCGGCACGGTTGTTGTTGGCCGTTCGACGGGGCGAGGCTGCAAGGGCGCTGGGGGAGGCCGGCCGCGGGGCTTTGCCCACGGCCGGCAAGAAAGAAGGAATTTTCTTCTAATCTCTTGCTTGATTAGATTGATACATCTCCTCTCATTATATAGAGAGGTCTGACTTGACCCCTAAGCAAGCGACTAATTAATTCTAATGGGCTAAGGTCCAATAGACTCTGGACTCCTCTAACAGAGAGTCTGAACATGAAGTTACTTTTGTGAAGCAGCCATTCATTTGGGGACAGCCTTAGAAAAGATGATGGTGTTTTTCGACGAATCGGTTACTGAAAGCGTGGCCAAGGAGTTGTCCCAGGTGCTACGAAGCTTTGCTAGGCCGGAAATACGCACGGAAATCCACACGTATCTGGACATGCTGATGATGATGTATGAGCCCGAAGAAATGCCCATACGATGTTAGTGTTAATCATGAATTAATTAGGCTTATTAATTTGTCACACGAACTGGCCACAATTTATGCAATGAGTTTAATAATTAGCTTATGTTTAGTTTTAATTGACATCTAAACATCCGATGTGACAGCTCTGTATCCAAACACCCCCGCCGGGATTATCCTGTAGTTTTTCTCTTTTGTTGTGTACTGTAATGGTTGAAATCATCGAAAACCTACAGCACGGGGAATGTGCTGGCAGGCATGCCGAGGAGTGGTGATCAGTCTTGTTTGGATCATCATTCATCAGTCCAGTAATGCACATTTAGAAGCCTTTTGTGAAAGAATGGTTAGGTTGATCTTTCTTCTTACACGATCACGACAAAGCGCCTGATTTGGATTGCTGCTGTAGCAAATTTTCCCGACAGTAAAATTTCACTGTTTCGAATGACCTGATTGTATTTTTATTTGCGCAGGAGACAAATAAAATCTCCTTTATTTTTTTTACTTTGTTGAATGGGCTTTAGTGACAGAAAATAAGCAGGTTTTACATTGGCCCAAAAAATGGAATGGGCCAGAAACATGCTCAGATATATGTCTGGCCCGCCTGGGTGTTGGTGACCATCGCAGTCGCAGCGGACGACGCCGCGAACTGCCGATCCCCATCGCAGCGCGCGCCGCCATGGGGGTGGTCACGAGACCCAAGAAGAGGCGGCTGCAAGAGGAGCGCCTCCGGGACCGTATCAGCAGCCTCCCCGACGACGTCCTCGTCGACATCGTCTCCTTTCTCCCCACCAAAGAAGGCGCCCGCACGCAGGTGCTCTCCTCCCGCTGGCGCCGCCTATGGCGCGCCGCACCTCTCAACCTCTCGCCAGTTGGCCGCGCGTGCGGCATCCCTGTCGGCGAGGTGTCCCGCATCCTCGCGGCACACCCGGGCCCCGGCCGCCGCTTCTCCATGCCGGAGTGCTACCTCAGCTACGACGACGAGTACTCCGAAACGACACTGGACGGCTGGCTCCGGTCACCCTCCCTCGACGACCTCCGGGAGCTCGAGTTCTAGCCCTATCCTCGACTTCTGCTGCCGCCATCAGTACACCGCTTCTCGTCGACGCTCCGCGTCGCTCGCTTCGGTGGCTGTACTCTCCCGGACGGGGACCATGGCGGCGCGCTGCTCTTGCCGGTTCTCGAGAGCCTAACCCTCTGCGATGTCTGCATCTCGGGGAACTCTCTGCACGCCTTGCTCGCCGGCTGCCCTGTTCTTCAGAGCTTGGCGCTATTTGACAACTATGGCTTCCCTCGACTACAAATCGTGTCCCCTAGCCTCAGAAGCATTAGCGTGGGTTGTAGTTACAGAAGTCTCAGCTTACAACAGCTTGTCATCGAGGATGCCCCGTGTCTGGAAAGACTACTATATTCCGGAAGAATATGGATGGACATCTGGGTGATCTCTGCGCCAAGATTGGCTACTTTGGGGAAACTGTTTGACAACCGTCCTAGAATTCAGTTCAGCGATACAGTTTTTCAGGTACACGCGTTGTCATTCTCACTTTCACCAGCCTTCATGAGTGGGATCCGAGTCCCTTTCGCTTGATCATGATGTGCTAATTCTATGTTTATTAACTCAGGGATCGGCTGTTGTTAGCATGATGAATGTGGTAGAAAGTGTGAAGGTTCTATCTTTATCTGACGTGAAACTTTGTTTGGATGTGGTTATTAACTTGTTGAAGTGCTTTCCCCACTTGGAGAAGTTATACATCAAGGTGAATCCTTGTGTCGAAGTACTGAATAATGCATCTGCATGTTTGATTGTTTTAAAGCTAAGTTGACCATCATTGACACCATTTCTCTGTTCACCTCGGATCTCAGGCAACAAGTGATTGTGTGGAAAATACGTGGTATCAAACAAACCCGGAACTTATAGGCACCCTTGACATCCGTCTCAAAAAAATTGTGTTGAGAAACTATCAAGGAAGCAAATCACATGTTGACTTTGTCAGGTTCTTTTTGTCAAATGCAAGTATGCTGGAGTCATTGATGCTCGAGTCAGGAGTTGGAGACGTTGCCAACACGTGGATTGCAAGACAACATAGGCTACTCCACATAAAAAAGAGAGCTTGCAGTGGTGCACGGGTCGCTTTTGTATCCCCTGAAAATTACATATTGACCGGTTCAGATGGCTTTCTACTTGCCAAGCAAGTACATGATTTGTCAACCGACCCTTTTCTAAAGCTTCATAGTTCTAATGACACCAATTAAGACGTGGTTTTTAGGTGAGACGAATATCGTGTGAAGTTTAGTCATTTTTGCATTGTTTTGTCATTTGTTATCTCTTTTCCTCATATACTATGATTTTGTCAACTGATTTATTTGGTGCTATATTTCCTTTTTAATAGAGAAGGGCTCTTGAGATGTTCATTGTTTTTCCCCCACCTGGTTGTCGCTGCAATAATTGCTATTTCCATATATCCTACATCAAATAATATACTGGTGTTTCCTTACTAAAGGAAAACCTCTTTTGTAAAGCCACGAAGCCCATGCCGATATTATTGTTACTAACCTGGAGATTTGAGAGAGAATAATAACCATATATAGAAAGCCTCATGGACCATATGGGCCTATAGTAGATGGCTCTTCATACACTTAACACCCCCCTTTAAAACTTAAGATGAAACTAAACCACAACACTAATATAGTGTCACATTTGTATCGTTATAAATATATTAATACCGTTGAACTATCGGTCGGTATAGCTAGCTCACGGATCAAGTGTCGGTAAATGTACTTTTTACGATGAACTATCGGTAGGTATAAATATTTACCTATACAGTCAAATAATTGGTTGGGATAGGTCACTAGGGAGGACGAACCTTTAGCTGGTATAGGCCGTGCCCCTGGCGTGCTCTAAAAAGGAAAAAATGCCCGTGGGAAATTGAAAATGAAAAAAGGCCTGACCGTGGCAAAATTGTTAGGCCCAAATACTGCCCTATCCAAACCCTACCTCTTCATCCTTCTGAGTCTCTAGCTTCCCAACTCCGCCACCGCCTCCGCCGCAAGTCCCGCGCCCACCAAATCGCCCGCCCAACTCTGTCGCCGCCACCGCCCAACTCTTGCCCATGCTCCTGGTGTCTCGCCCTCTTCGATCCTGGATCCCGCTCCCGGCTAGCGGCGCATTATCTGCTTTCATGTGAATTCATGCTTTTCATTTGCTACTAGGTGTTGACTAAATTTTTTACTTCTGTGGGTGTAGTTATATGCGATATAATAACTTCACTAAATGTCCATAATGTATAAAGTATGAGAACTTATAAAATGACTCAAAATATGAACTGCATGAGCAATGTCAAGTCTGGTGATTGTAGCTACAATGTGATGATATCGAGTGGGATCCGCAAGGGGTGTACTAAAAGGGCTGAAGATGTTGCCTAGAGGAGAGGTGAATAGGCGTTTCTAAAAAAATACAACTTAAAATGTGAAAGGCATTAGAATAGGAATTTGAAATCCCAAATCAGAGATATAAACCCCCCGATAGATACACTAAGTATATAAAGGTTGTTAAACAAACCTAGGAGTTAAATACCTGCAAAACAAAGGATTAAACACAAGCTAAATAGATCGAGGTAAACATAATATATTAAATTAAAATGCAATGAGACACGATATTTGTTTTACCAAAGTTCGGACTCCCACTTGAGTCCTACTCTGTTGAGAAGGCATTGAAAGTGGTATGGATAATCCTTCGCTCCGATCCGCTCCGAATCTGAATTTTAAGGATATGGAGAAGTGTTTTTAATATCTGTGCGGATGCAGATAATCTAAATCTGATTATATGCGGATACGGTGTAGGATATGGGATTGACGAAATCCAGCGGATATGGATTATCTGATATTAAACACGGATTATCCTACGCTTATGATAAGATAATCCTAATATTTTAAGGAGCCCAAGTGGAAATTATTGGCAACGAAAGAATTATTATCTACCAAAGTGGAGGACTAGTACACGGCAAAAAGTGAAGGCAAAGTTTTGCTTAATTAAGAATATTTATTTCTTTAACACGCTTGTTTTATACTCTTATAAATCCAAACTAAGAACTTGTATTAATTTTATGATTGTGAGCGCTTAAATCGAAGTGGTGGATTGATGGTGATTATTTCAAGTTGTATTGCTGCTTTATGACTTTGATTAATGAATTGTTTCTCGTCATAAAAAACAACATGTAAGCACATATTATCCGATTTGAAAAAGTCTGCATCCGCTCTGACACCGGTCCGAATCCGTACCATTTCTGACATCCTAAAAAATCCGTATTCGCAACCAAATTCGATAAAGTCCTATCCGCTCTGAATCCGATAAAAAATTGATTAGGATTAGGATATGGAAAAGCCATTATCCGCTCCGCTCCGATCTGTTTTCATCCCTAGAAGGCAATGAGTGACCACTTCAAGGTGTACTCTAGCTTGGTCCCTTTCAACCACGACCCTCAATCCACTCAGCTTGATCCCTTCCCTTTGCGGATGTGAGATCGGGCCCTCACAAACATGTCATGGCACACCATAATCCTTGGTTGCTCGCCGATGACTTCTAGCCGTCTACGAGTAAAGCTCCAAGAGTAACAAATGTGAATCACGATATCGACGAATGCCACGAGTGCTCAAGTGTTGACTTTGCTCCCTTTTGCTCACTATTTTGAATCTCACTCAACCCACATATCGTATCTTTCACTAATCACTTAATCTCACAAAGGGAGGTATGGAGAGTGTCTCAAGAGCTCTAGAATGTCTATGTGACACACCAGAATCAGGAACCCTCTCAAAGGAGAAGGTTTGGGGTACTTATAATCCCACTTTCAAAACTAGACGTTACTAGCCGTTGGGTCGAGTCAGTTGAAAGTTCTAGTTTGGTTTTGGTGAATTGATGAAACCCTAAGTGCTAACCTAGTTTATCAAGTGATCATGAAATAGGTAGCACATTCCAAGTGGTAAAGCAAATGAAGATCGTGACATGATGATGGTGATGCCATGGTGATAATCAAGTGCTTGGACTTGAAAAGAAGAAAGAGAAAAACAAAAGGCTCAAGGCAAAGGTATAAATGGTAGGAGCCATTTTGTTTTGGTGATTGAGACACTTAGTGAGTGTGATCACATTTAGGATCGATAGCCGTACTATTAAGAAGGGTGAAACTCGTATCAGAATGCGGTTATCAAAGTGCCACTAGATGCTCTAACTCATTGCATATGCATTTAGGATCTAGTGGAGTGCTAACACCCTTGAAAATGTTTGTGAAAATATGCTAACACATGTGCACAAGGTGATACACTTGGTGGTTGGCACATTTGAGCAAGGGTTAGGAAACTTCACCGGTGGAGTGTCCGCCCGTAGAGTGCGGACAGTCCGACGGTGCCACCGGCGCCCTAGACAGAAAAGACAGAGGCCACAGCAAGTGACCGGATGCTGGCCTCGGTTGGACCGACGCGTCCGATCAGTAGCAGCAGAGGGCGTGCGTTTCGATCTTCGACCGAACACTGGGTCACTTGGTGACCGGACGCTAGAGGGGTGCGTCCGGTCAGTGCTAACGTACGCTGACGTGGGGCGTACAGGGAAGTCGTCGTGTGACCGGACGCTGGGTGTGTCCGGTCGAGCATGACTGGACGTGTCCGGTCGTGAAAAGTCGTCTCTAGATGCTTACTAGAAACGACCGGACGATGGGGTTCACCGTCCGGTAACTTTGAGCTGCTGCGTCCAGTCGTCACTTGACCGTTGGGATCGTTCGCTCAGTATTTGTAGAGAGGGGACACGTGGCGTGCATCGCACGACCGGACGCTTAGGTCCAGCATCCGATCAATCTGACCGGAGCGTCCAGTCCACCCGTGTTCAGTGCAGTGAGGAGCCCAACGGCTCTATTTCGTGGGGGCTTCTATTTAAGCCCCATGGCCGGCTCAAGCTCACTCTCTTGGCCATTTGCATTGACATAGCAACCTTGTGAGCTTAGCCAAAGCCCTCCCACTCATCTCCATCATTGATTCATCATCTTTGTGGGATTGGGAGAGAATCCAAGTGCA